TTACCATTATCAGAAAAAAGTCATGTTTGGGCTTCCCAACAAGTATATGAGCATATAAAATTTGCTGAAAGCAAAAAAAAAAAAAAACAAAGAGAGAGAGAGAGAGAGAGAGAGAGAGAGAGAGAGAGAGAGAGAGAGAGAGAGAGAGAGAGAGAGAGGTCAGGCAGTGGTGGCACACATTTTTAATCCCAGCACTCCCAGGAGGCAGAGGCAGGCGGATCTCTGAGTTCAAGGCCAGCCTCCCTCTCCTTTCCTAGTACATGGATTCAAGGCCAGCCTGGACTACAAGAGCTAATTTCAGGACAGCCTCCAAAGCCACAGAGAAACTGTCTCAAAAAACAACAAAAATTTTTTGCTGAAGAAGTGATGGAGGTAGACACCACTCTAGGGGTGGGGGTGCATATCTTGACATGGCACACAGATGTTCTGAAGGAAAGTGGTGTTACTGTAGGGGAAAGGAGCCAGCCAAAGAAACACACTTTGTCCCTAGAATCAGAGCTAGTGAAAGAAATACACCCTGACCCTAAAATTAAAGTCAAAAAGCTAAAAAGGACCAGTGAAAGAAACATACTTTGGCCCTGAAATCAGAGCCAAATCTGCCCCTGACCAGAAAACCAACCAATCTCTGAGTCAATCTGAGCTCAGGGACTGAAATCTGACCAATCCCCACCCTGGAAAGCTTCTCCCTGGAAAAAGTCTGCCCCTAAGAAGCCCTATATAAACCTGTGCTTCTCCCCTTTGCTGCCGTCTTCCTCCATCCTAGCAGAGGCAGCCACTCTCCCGGATTCTTCCCTCCCAATAAGTCTCTTGAAGGAGGTTTGGCTAACTACCTTGTTACACTCAGGGGACTGGAGCTGAACTGTAAAAACTTTGCTGGGGAAGCCCTCCCTGCTAGAGCACAGCTGTCATGTTGTTGAGGAAACCTTTCCCTGGAACAGGGCTGTAAGCTGCTATGCTTACAGTGACCTGTAGTATTCTGTGGCTCCTGAGTGCCAGAATACTTTCCCATCCGAGCCGTAACGCTTACAGGTAGATACTGGACACTACCATTTTCTTTTCTTTTTTAGGTTTTTGAGACAGTGTCTCTCTAGTTTTGGAGGCTGTCCTAGAACTCGCTCTGTAGACCAGGCTGGTCTTGAACTCACAGAGATCCACCTGTCTTCCGAGTGCTGGGATTAAAGGTGTGTGCCACCACTGCCCAGGAATACTACCATTTTCTTTGCAGAACATAACCTCCCTTTCCTACCTGACTGGGATATAAATGACAGTTATCCTTTGGTTTTAGAACTAGTCTGGAAACAGGTACCTGGCTTAATACCAGTCAGCTGCTTCTTTAAAAACCTTAAGTTAGAGATGAGGGAACCTCCTCTGCATTTTGTCTTTACTTGTTTGTTTGCTTATTTGGCTTTTTGAAACAGGGTCTCGCCATATAGCCCAGACTGGCCTTGGACACTGTCATACCAGCCTCCCAAGTACTAGTATTACAAACGTGTTCACGATGCCTGGCTGAGGAAACCTACGCCTTAACTGTGCTCTGGAGTTTTGAAATGTATGTACATGAGCTTGGGAGTCACAACACACTACTGACAGAGCAGTGGGTCTCTGTAACAGAGGATCAAAGCATATCCTGGTAAGGTTAAGTCATTTGAAGCCCTAGCACATCTGTCTTCCTAGACTTGAATATGGTGCTAATATATTTCCTTTTTGGTAAGCCAAGTAACTGAATTTCTTATCTACCAAAGAACCCTAATTCAAGCCTATTCCTAGAAACTCAAAGTTAGTGATTTATCCCTGCTAAGACTAACAACCACAACAAAGCAGAGTTTCATCTTAGTCCCTTTCCAAACCAAACGCAGACCTTGGGAGGAAGGTGCATACTATTTAATAAGAGCAGGGAGTACTTAAGATCAAACAATGGCTGAATATTTCCAGGCAACACTGGTTATTGCTTCTATTTTGTTTCATTTTTTAGAGACACTGTCTCACTATGTAGCCTTAAGTGGCCTGGCATTCACTATGTAGACTAAACTGACCTAGAGCTCATAGAGATCCACTTGCCTCAGCCTCCTCCGATTAAAGTCACGCACCACACACCCAGCCTTGGTTATTGCTTCTAATGAAATTTAGTGAATAGGCAAAACTACTGTCCATAGCATGCAAAACAAATGTTCTGTGTCACCTTTTTAGAGAACTCCTTTTCTTTTTCACTGAGTGCTTGAGTCTTCTCTTGCTCAAGAAGGAAATGTGATCTTCTCTGTTCTTCTACAACGGACTCTGTCTGATGCAGTGAGTCACGCAAAATTTTGATTTCTCCATTCTTAAGTAGGACTTCTTCTTCCATTGCTTTCAGCTGTAAATTATGTCCAGCAAGTTGGTATTCAGCAAGAAAAGTTTCAGAATACACTTGTCACATATATACAGATTCTTTCAACTTTTTTAATACTATGGGTCACACTCCAGAACTAACATTCCATGTTACATTCCTGGTGTTCTTAGAGCACCTACAGATGCTGATTACTTACAAAATTAATGAAATAGCAACCTCTCTGATGATGTGCTCCTCAAATAAAGATACAGGTTATGGGAGCTAGAGATGGTTTAGCAGCTAAAAGTACTTACTGCTCTTGCGTAGGACCCACATCAGGTAGTTCACAACCGGTTCCAGAGGATCCAAAACCCTCTGGCCATTATGGGAACCTGCATGCATGTGGTGCATGTAAACTAACAAAGGCTTACATGCATACACAGAATAAATAAAAATTCAGGCATTCCTCCCCCAATCTTCCATTTCAGGGGAACAAATCTACATGCTTGTTTTAAAGCTTTTATATTTTTTTTACACAATGCTTTTTAATACCTAAATGAATGAATTAGCTACAAATACAAGAAGTTAGGGCTGGAGTATAGCTTAGCAGTAGAGTGTTTATAGCATGTATAAAGATGAAGTCCTGGGTTCAATTCTCAACATTAGACCAAATAAACAAGGAAAGAAACCTCACCATTACATACCTTTTCCTTAAGTTCTTTGTATTGTGTCTGAAGTACTTCTAATTCAAAATTATCTTTAACTGGGGCATTTTCTCTGTCTTTCCTCATAGGGCTATTTGATAACCCATCTAATTGGCGGAGCTTATGAGCACCTGTATAAAAAATAGTTCCCATTAAGTTGAGCATGGTGGCACAGAACTGTAATCCCAGCGCTTGGGAGGCTGAGGCAGGGGGATCTCAGGGTCAAGGCCAGCCTAGTTACAGAGTGAGAATATCTTGGGAAAAAAATCCAAATATACTTCAGGACTCAGTATGCACCCACCTTTGTCATAAAATGCTTGTCTTGAAAGCCAACTTGAGAAAGACCCAGTATTTATCAATACTTTCCAATCTCAGAACATGATGTAAACTCATAAAGAAATAGCATGTCTGAATACTCTCCCTTTGCACCTAATTTCAAGAGTCTCAGCTAATCGCTGAGATATCACTGGCTATAAATATGATCTATCATTAATATTATTTACTGCAATATGTAGGCATAGGATCTGCTAGTCTTTAAAGACACCATGGCGAACAAGATGGATATATCTCACGAGGAAGGTGGGGCTTCAGGGATGGATTCAGGTAAAGTGATGTAGGGCCAGGGAAAGAAGAGGGGTTGCCTGTGCCACTGGGCGTAGAGCATCGCTAACCACTGCCATATAAAACATCTGGTCAGGCCGGGCGGTGGTGGCACACGCCTTAAATCCCAGCACTTGGGAGGCAGAGGCAGGTGGATCTCTGTGAGTTCGAGGCCAGCCTGGTCTACAAAGTGTGTTCCAGGACAGCCTCCAAAGCCACAGAGAAACCCTGTCTCGAAAAACAAAACAAACAAAAACAAAACAAAACAAAACAAAAACATCTGGTCAGCAATGAGAGGTCTACGTTTTCAGGAATAATCTTATTTTTCCGATGCTTAAGGTGTTAAGTACAGACGCAAAGGGCCCATCAGATCCCCCTGTCAGTTCACGAGATTTCACTTTTTAAGTAAAATGTAAACTCTATGAAGGGACGAAGTTTTGGTATTTGTTGCTCATTGCCTGTGGCTGTTGCCATTCCTAACTTCTGGGTAACTAGCATGGATTACTGGTTGTGTAAGAATCATTTCTTGCCTCTGCCAGACGCCTCCCATGCTCATGCAGTCCAAGGGTTACAGTGGGCTGCATAAAATCTAAATCCTCTCACATGGGTTGTGACTGTCCTGCGGTGGTCGTAGTCTTGTTTCAAGGAAAATAAGAAATAGTCTAGCTATCTACATTTCAAATCTGGGTATGTGAGGCCTTTGGGCATTCTGGATGTTTTACCAGCCAAATCAAAGGACCCTTTGAAACAGAACCGCGCTTCGGGGTCCTTAGTCTTACAAAGAGAAAGGGAAGCGGTGCAAGACACCAGTGCCGAAGCCACCGCGTTGAAGAGGTATGCACCACCCCCGGGGAAAGGCCCCCCATGAGCACTCACTGGACCCGCTGTTCCGAGGCGCGACCGGACACTGGCTTAGGGCCTGTGACGCGAGGATGTCGAGTTCCTCTAGGTCGTCCGCGGTGAATTCCGCGTGCGCGCCGAATGGGTCATCGGGATCCGGGTCCGTGGTCTCAGAGAAGCTCCGGGCCCGCTTGCTTGGAGCGTTGCCGAAGGCCCGCGATAGACCTGGGAGAGGCGCCGGGCCGCCGCTCTGCCTCCGGTGGCTGTTCGGTGCGGGTGTCCCAGCCATGACTTCCTTCAGCCCGCGGCGTCCTCGCCAAGCACAGCCTTGCCCGCAGAAAGCCTGGCTTGTCCCAACCGCCCGCGCGCCGCAGCTCACTTCAGCGACTAGCGGCTCCCAGCCGACCGGCCAATCAGCTGTCAGCCAGCGGGCGCAGAGGGATGACGTATCTGAGCGCGCTGTTACACCTGGCAGGTCTCTGCGCTTGTGCCTGGACTCTGTGCAGTGCTATCGGGGGCTCCCCGTGTTGCGTGATCGAGGAGCGTCTGTCCGACCGCCCCTGTGGCTGTCCGCCTGGCATTGCGTGGGATACAGAGCCTTAGAGGAACGGTTCGCCTTGAGTCGAGACAGGCAGCCTTCGGGGGTCAGCGCTAGTTGACCTCTCTCATCAGCCCTCACCCACCTGTCATGTATCCAGAGACTCCTGGGGAGGAGGCTGGAGAGCAGACTTGGGGAGGGGAAGGGGTGCCGCTGTTCTTCTGGAGGCGGGCGTCTTCCACAATAGCGAATGCTTCAAGTATGTGTGTATTTGAGAAAAGTCTGGGAAGGGTGATCTTGAGAACGGCGTGCCTGTTCGGAGCTGCTTGAACTTTTCTTTATTTCTCGGAGACTCTTTATGTCCTGAACGCCGGTCGTCAAGGAAGACTCTTCGTGAGTGATCCTCGGATTGTCCAACAGGTTGAGGGAAAACTGGCAAGAAAAACGGGCAAGAGCCTGACACATATGTTACTGAGAAAAATCCAGATTCGACAAGGATACTAGGTGGGAGTTTCTGTGGCAGACAGATGTAGTGAGACTTCACAGTGGAGCGAAGATTTGGGTTGGGCTAGGGTGTGTGATAGGCGTCTGTGAGCAGAAGTGGTGCATGGAACAGTTGGCAGCATGGGGAGTCAGCACTGCAGACCAACAGGATCAGACTTTTCTACTCTGCTCCCTCGGTGCCAGACTTACCTTGTGAGCCCATCAGTTTGCTGAGACACTGGGTGAAGAGAGTGCTCAGGCCTAGAATGCCTTAGGTCTCGTGGTTTTTTGTTTCGTTTTGGTTTCTCGAGACAGGGTTTCTCTGTATTGTTTTGGAGGCTGTCCTGGAACTCGTTTGGTAGACCAGGCTTGGTCTCGAACTCACAGAGATCTGCCTGCCTCTGCCTCCCGAGTGCTGGGATTAAAGGCGTGCGCCACCACCACCCAGCAGGTCTCGTGTTTTGTTTTTTTATAACATATGTGTACATACATACATACATACACACACACATAGGAGTGTTTTGTCTGCATGTATGTATTGCACCACGTGCATGCCTGATGCCTGCAGAGGCCAGAAGGCAGCGGCTCACTTAGAATTGCCTTAGTCTTTGGATCCCGCTGCTAGTAGTTTCCTTTAGCTGCCCAACACGTAGACTGCTTAAGCCTCCCAGCCCCTCCCCACTTGTTGACATGTAACCAAAGCTGGCCTGGAACTCCAAAATGTCCTTCCTGCCCTCTGAGTGCTGGGACTATAGACATGAATCACCATGTTCAGCTGTTTTTGTTTTTTGAGTTGGCCTCAAACTTCCAATCCTCCTGTCTCAGTCTCCAAGTGCTAGAATTGTAGGTGTGGGCTACCATCCTGGATGAATACCCAAGTCTTAGTAACTGAGGGCTGTGCTTCTGAAAAGAGATAGGACTGTCCGTGGTCAGGAGGGATTAGATTCCACAGAATAAGAGAAGTAGCTTCTGTGGGGGGGGGGGCGTGACTGCTGACAAGCTATTTCCAGCAGCACAGTGCCAGGTGGCAGGACCCCATTTGCCTAAAGCCCACAGAAGGTGCTTTTTGGAGATGACCAAAGCAAGCTTATTTTTTTTATTGTTTTATGTGTATGGGTCTTTTGCTTACATGTATATCAGGCCAGAAGAGTTCAACTCCCTTGGAACTGGAGTTATAGTGAGCCGCCATGAGTGTTCTGGGAATTGAACCCTGGCCCTCTAGAACAGCCAGTGCTATTAACTGCTGGACCATCTCTCTAGCCTCCAAGCTGGTGTTTTATCATTTTGATTCTCCTGCATCAGCTGCCCGAGTGCCAGGATTACAGGTGTCTAGCTGGGCTTGGTGCAGGTCTGTGACCCCAACTACTCCGGAGGCTTAGGCTGGGTAATCAGACATTCAAGGTCTGGCTGAGCAATTTAGTGAGACCCTGTCTCATTAAAAAAAAAAATCAGAGCTGGAGAGATGGCTCAGTGTTTAAGAGTACTGACTGCAATTCCAAGGGTCCTGAGTTCAATTCCCAGCAACCACATGGTGGCTCACAACTATCTACAGTTCAATCTGGTGCCCTCTTCTGGCATGTAGGCAGAACACTGTATATGTGATAAATAAATAAATCATTTTAAAAAATCCCCAGGGAAAGTTTATTATTATTTCAAGTTATATGAATGACCTAGAGGGTAAATCAGAAGTCTTGTGCCTCTCAAGTAGGTGTTTTAGGGGTGGGACAGTGTTAAAGTATTTGCATAGAATGTTCCAGCATCTTGTCTCTTAAAACAGGGTCACATTTTTGGCCATGATGGCACAAACATGTAATCCCAGCATTACAGAGGCTGAGGCTGGGGAATTTTTAAAGGCAAGGCTGAGTGATAATAAGATCCAACCTCAACTCCTTCCTTCCCAAACAAAATTGGTTTCTATTCTGGGTTTTTTCACTTGGTGGTTGATAGCAGGTAACATCTGGCAGGAACTGCCACTGTGCAGAGTATGATCAGGAAGTCACAGTGATTTTCCTCTTCCAGAACTGGGGTCTGAAATCTAGGGCTCTCCGAATGTATCAGGTCAGTCCTCTTATCACTGAGCCGAATCCCCAGCCCCTCTTATTTTTGTGTATTTCCTCACCACTAAGAAAACGCCCAGGGGCTGGAGAGATGGCACAGTGGTTAAGAGCACTGGCTGTTCTTCCAGAGGTCCTGAGTTCAATTCCTGGCAACCACATGGTGGCTTATGCCTACCTTAAATGAGATCTGGTGCCCTCTGCTGGCATGCAGAAGATTGTATACATAATAAAAAATGCCCAGTATAAAAACAAACAGAAAATAAAGAGCTGGGCATAGTGGTTCATGCCTTTAATCTCAGCATTCAGGAGGCAGGCTGGATCTACACAGAGTCCCAGGACAGCAAGGGTTACACTGAGAGATCCTATCTCAAACTAACAAAAACACAGTGAGGCTTATCTTTACCTCAGACCACTGTGGCTGCAAGTGGACTAGAGGGTAAATAGTAGAAATCAGAAGGAAAGGAATCGTTTCCAGACTGCTTCTCAACTGGTGGGTCACCACCCACCCCTTTGGGGGGTCACATATCAGATATTTACATTATGACTCATAGCAGTAGAAAAATTAGTTATGAAGTTACAATGAGAAAAAGTTTGATTGGGGTCATCACAACATAAGGAACTGTATTAAAGGTTAAAGCATTAAAAAGGTTGAGAACCACTGCTTTACAGTCTGACTTTAAGAACTTTGGCTTTTCTTTCTAAGCACTGGAGAGTTTTAAGTCAATGAGAAACAAAATATGAATTATCAGCTACAGTTTAGCAAGATGAGCCTTTTCCCTCTTTGCATGTGTGTCAGGTGTGTGCGCGCACATACATGTGCGGCCCAAGCATGGGCATCTTATTCACTGAGGCCGGGTGTCTTAGCTGAACTCTACGCTCACCTGGATGGAGGCAAGCTATCCAGCTTGCTCCAGGATTCCTTGCCTTTGCCTGAATTGAAGTAATTTGTCTTTAAACACGAACATGGCAACTTGGATATCATCGAAGACAGGCGTTTTTCTTTACAAGGTATACTTCCTTTTACTAAGCAACCACACAAGAATGACAGCCTTTTAATGAGTTGGTTTAATTCAAAGTGACACAGAATTCAGAGTACAACAGAGATGAAACAGCAGGCTCTGGTAGGATTCCAGACTGGGTTTACTTTAAATTAACAGCTGAGGTAGGAATTGCTGAACACTACGACAATGAGCCATTGTATTATTCATTTTTTTTTACAAAAGTTTATTTATTACAATGTACAACAAGCTCCAAGATAACATTTCATTCTAGCTGTAGGTGGCAAAGATGTTATAGTAGGGAATCCAGATGTTTAATAGGCTCCAGGATGACACTTCATTCTAGCTGTAGGTGGCAAAGATGTTATTCTGGCAGGGAATCCAGATGTTTAAATAGGAATGGAAGAGGGTCACCATCATCTCAGGTATGAGGAACAGCTTACTTTTTGCCAGATTTCTTAATTCCACCTGTGGCTGCAAACAGTAAAGTCGATTAAGGAAAAATACAGTTGTGGCTAAAAACCCTCGGGGACCCTAGTATTATCTAGTATTATCAGGCTCCTGAACTGGGTACTTACCATGACACAAAATACATCGTTCCTTTATCAATACCATCTCTCCTAGGCAGGGGCAAGGCAACACCATTGTGTCCTTCAAATTAGCTTAGTAACTTTCCTGCTACAGCAACCCACTTAACAGACAAGTAAGTCTTGATGTTTGGTGTTCAAGGTTTTAAGCTAGCATATGAGAAGCGTCAATTCTCATCTGGTAGTTTGACTTTTCTAGTTTTGTAGTGTTATATTTTTGTTTATGGCAAAGTCATATCCAACAGTACCAGTGAGCTTCAAATTCACCCTCCTTTTTTGTTCACACCCCCCCCTTTGTTTTGATTTTCTTTTTCTAAAACAGAGAAAGAACACACAAGTTGATGTGTAGGGAGGTGGAGAAGATTTGGAAAAAAGGCTTTAGCCAGGTGTGGTGCTGCTTGGATTAATCCCAGCACTTGGGAGGCAGAGGCAGAAGGATCTCTTGTTTGTGGTCAGCCTGGCCTACAGAGTGAGTTCCAGGACTCTATATAGCAGTGATTTCCAACCTTAAAGCTGTGACCCTTTAATACAGTTCCTCATGTTGTGGTGACTGCCCACCCCATTAAATTGTTTTTGTTGCCACTTCATAACTGTAATTTTGCTAGTTATTAATCATAATGCAAATGGCCTTAGACAACCACGTGAAAGAGGGGTTTGACCCAAGGGGTCACGAGCCACATGTTGAGAATCACTGACATAGAGAACCCATCTCAAAAACGTCATCTGCCTCAGTCTCCTTCAACCTCTGCAGGGTTAGTATTAGTGATGTACAACACCATGCCAAGGCTCTGCCTAAGTAGTCTAACTTCAAATTGCATACTTTTTTCCCTGAATGTGTGGGCCAGAAGCTCATCCTGGGTAGTGTTTCCCCATTAACCTTGTCTTTTGTTTTTGTTTGTTTGTTTTTGAGACAGGCTATGTCATTGGCCCAGAGCTTGCCCAGTGGGCTAGACTGGTTGTCAGAGAACCCCAGGGATCTGCCTGGCTCTGCCTCCACAGGGGTGGGATTGTAAGTAGACACCACTATGCCTGACTTTTCTTATGAGGGTTGTAAGTATCCAGCTTAGGTCCTCATGCTTATCAGGCAAGCACTTCACCAACTGAGCTGTCTCTCTAGCCCTTTGCTGCATTTTTGTTTTGTTTTGTTTTGTGAGACAGGGTTTCCCTGTATAGCTTTGGAGCCTGTCCTGGAACTATCTTTTGTAGACCAGGCTGGTCTTGAACTCACAGAGATCTACCTGTCTCTGCCTCCCAAGTGCTGAGACTAAAGGTGTACACCACCACTGCCCAGCAGGCATAGTATTTAAACACCATTTTTTGTTTTAAAAATTGGTTTTAATTCTTTTCAACATTTTTACATGTAAGTACACCATGTGCAT